GGAAGTAACATGCAGAGAAACAAATCAGGCACTGTGAAGTGCTGAAAAAAAAATTCTGACTGTATTTCAACTCTCTCTGTGGAACTAACATGGAATCCCGAGGAATTAACATACATCATACATCATGCATCATACATACATACATACATACAGTATACTGTGTTAGTTTGATGCTCTTCTCTTGACATCTTTTCACTGGTCATCTCTACTACCAGAAAATAACCCTCTCCTTAATTAACCCCAATAAACCAAAAGGCAGCAAATCATCTTTATATCCAAGATGCTGAGATTTCTTTTTCCTTTGCATGTGTTGGTACCCGACTGGCTAAACTAAATGTTTGACTGAAGCAAAAGACTCAAGAGGGACTTGAGCAATTTTACCTTGTCACAAAAGACTTTAATCTGGCAGTAAGCTCTGTGGATGGGTTTGTTGCTCCTGTTGTTGTAGCTGTAGGTGTCAATCTGAAGATTCAGAGGGAGTCCTTTAACCCCTTTTTGTGAGGAGAAATCTGTACTGAGGCAGTTCACAGCAATGAAGACCTGCAGGACAAACCAAGCGTAACCATTCCCTTCTGAAGCTGCTCTGAAAAATATTTCAGTGTTTTCCATTGTGTTATAACACCTCCCTCCAAGATTCATACATAAATCAGAGCAAAGAGACATTTTCATCCATCACAAACCAGAACCCAATACCATAGCCCACCTCCAACCATAGAGTGGGAACATCCCCATTAGTGATATGTCCTTTCTTGACATTTCAGTTCAGTCCACTGCTGTACTGTCCAAAACTGATTTTTATTTGGGAGTGGTATAACAAAATAGCCAAAGTATAGATTATGATGTTGTGACTTGACTTAGAGTTACAGACTGGTCCCAAGTTCAGCCCTTGGCATCTCCAAGTAAGGCATGACAGACCCCCATCCAGGAGGACACCTAGAGAATTACTTCAGTCACCTTCAACAGGTCTAGACTTGCTAGCCCAATGGTGTGATTCAGCATAAAGAACCACCTACATTCTTAATGCTAATATCTTATTGGCTGAGCTGCAGAGACAGGAAGTAGGTAGGATTCTGTTCCTCAGAGAGAGGTTCTGGCAGGTGATTTGGGTCTCACAAACCTGCAGCAAAAGTTATTGATTGCTGTTGCTCTATTTCCAGTCCAAGGAAAAGGTATTTGTGAAATTTTCTATCTCAAGTGCCAAAATAACTCAGCCAGCCCTGGATACTACGCATTTTGACATCAGGAGTACCCCACCTCCAATCTGCGGCTCTGCCTCAAACAGATTACCCAAATTTGCTAAAAACAACATTAAATAATAAATTAGGTCTAGCTATCTGTACATTGCAGACCAAGGGCCTATTCATATGACTAAAGCTTTTCAGGCTTTTATCCCAAAGCAGCAAAGTGGAGTTATTCCATATGTTAACCCCATAGAAGGTGCACTTATGGACTATACAAACTTAGCTAATTCTCAATTACTGAACAAATGCTCATCTGGGACTCAGCAAAATAACTTAGTGTCTTGATGAACCTAACAATATGTATTACCAGCTTAGATTGTGTGTGTGTATACAGTATGTATGTGTGTGTGTGTGTGTGTGTGTGTATGTATGTGTGTGTATGTATGTGTGTGTGTGTGTGTGTGTATATGTGTGTGTGTGTGTGTGTGTGTGTATATATATATATATATATATATATAAATAAAAATTATACACTTTAGAGAAAACATAAAAACAGGAACAAATGAAAGGAATAAAAGGATAAGATGCAAATAATTAAACACAGGAACCAGCTTAGATTTCTGTTTATTACACTATAGCTGATTGTGGCTTATGCATATAAGAAACATTAAACCTTGCACAACTGCATATGTTCAATGGTTTTCTCCTCACATTTATTTTTAGTAAAAGTGTGAAGTCTGGAAGAGCAGGGAACTGCCAGTGCAAGATACTTGTATCTCATGGACTCACCCACTGCTTTTAACTCTTCAAGGTATGTTAAAAAAAATCATTATTTGAGACTCACTGACTTAGCACATTAATTGTTAAGGACTCAGCACAATTGTTTCTGTACCTACTATGTGAACGCAATTGTTAATCAACAGCACCTACTAAGCAATATTGTTCCAGTAATAGTAACATATAATGTAATTTACTATACCTCTCACTTTATTGCTGCTTTCCTTCAAAGAAAAACTAAATTTAGAACTGATATATGGGGGATGTGAGCCTCCTAGTGGAACATGTCAGCCATTGCAACACAAAACTGAGACCTCTTCCTAATTTACTTTTGTGTACAGTATGTCACACCATAAAAGCTTTTAACTGTGCTAACAAAAGAGGAAAAAAAACTGAATTTCTCCAAGACAGTGTTTTAATAATTCCTGCTCTAAAAACTGTTTGTATTGCAAATGAGGAAAATTGTAAAAATATATGTGACATGCTTCCATGTAATTATTACCCTGCTGATTGATTATATGCTACCAAGTCAGTATCAACTCTTAGCGACTGCACTAGCCTATTACACAAGCACAAATAGGAACATCTAACAACTCTGCACATACATTTGGTACACTTGGAAGCCACAGCCGATTGAGAGCTTATTTCCAAAAGACATTCACGTGGACTGGGAGAAAAAACAAAACAGACCTGATATCTGGGGGATTGTCACATATAAAAATCAATATCAGGTTCTTCAACTTAAGCTGGGCTGGGAGGCAAGCTTTTGAACCACTCAAGGCATAAAAGATGTTCTAAGGAAAAAATTATTAGTTTGAATGCAATGATAGCCGTATGGTCAATACAATGTTCCATGTTCTATAATTTATTCATCAAAGCAACTTTTTCTCCCTCCCTCCCCAAGGCCTTGTTGCAAACTTCCCAACAACCAAGTATCTTAGATGTGCCAGTCCCCTCACTTACTGGTCATGAAACCATGCCCACCCATCTGGGTCTCTTATTAACATCAGAGCAACCAATTATTTTGAGGTCTTCCTCTTGTCTGCAAATAGAAGCCAATTGGGAATGCTATATTTTGTAGTGATTATTCTATAAGCTCTTCTCCTTGTCATTTTTGTGGTTTACAAAAAACGAGGACAAGAGAAGTGTTTCAGCAAGTTCCAGGATAGCCGTCTAAAATAAGTTTCTACTTTTAAAATTGGATTAACGAAACATGTAATGGTAGGGGTATTATGAGTTACATGAATAGCTTCATAGATTTTTCTAAAAAGCGAAATGAAGAAAATTGATGCTTGGGGTGGGGAGAGAATCTTGAATCTGTGTTTTAAAGGAAAAGAAAACTAGGTGACTGTACCAGGTATTTCCCACCCAAAAGTTGCTGAAGAACCATGTAGCCAGTGAAGTTGCTGAACTCCTTCAGCCTGTACAGCAAGATTCCTTTTATGATAGTCTTTCTGGTTTTAGAGGACTATTCCGCATTCTTAGCTATATGAAAGTTGGCTTGTGGGTTTTGATAACCATTTTCTATCATTTGTTCTTCAAATGCAAATTTAAGAAGGGGGTGACTATGTACAAGTGTTTTTGTATCCAAGTAAGCATGCCAATACATTTTGAGGTCCTGCTTGTGCAGACAGATCAGGCAATTCTTGGGAAACTCTCAGATATCCACAGGGCATCCATTACTGGAAAATTGCTCAGTGTGTGCACACAGAAAGAACTGCTACTTGCATGGCATTATCCTTCACAGAAAAAGAAAAGAGAAGGCCTTGGAGAAGTATTACACTACATTCTATCACTCTGTCTCCAGAGACACAATATTTCAAAATTAAAATTAAGAACTCAAAATATATCATAGTCAAGATGTCTCCATGTAACATCTGAATAGAGATGAACACAAATTTCGCATCTCCTTACGCAGCCACAAAAATAGAAGAACACTTCACTTTTCTCGTGGGATGTTGGTGGGGGGTGGCTACCAGGATATTAGCAAGGAAGCAAAAGGGGTGGTCAAACTACCAGTAAGTTGCTCCAGTATCATCTTTACAATAAGAGCAGCCAATAAACACTAAAGAAAACTTGCTGCTGTCACTTCCTTGGTAAATCCTCCCATAAAAATGATTGAATAATTCCTCTTCCTCTTTAAGGAAAAAAAAAACCTTGATCAAGTTCACTACCACCACTACCACCACTTCATTGCTCAAAAATGGGTGGAGAATTTTGAGAGGCCACCTATGCACCATCTAGATTTAACCTCTAGAGAAGCTTTTCTTAATCATGAACCCTTCTGTTGTACTGGGACATCAATTTATGCTGGACTATGACTGTAATACAGATTTGACTGACTGATTACTTTCTGGAGTTCCCTTCCCCACCAACACAGCTTATAGAAAGTTTCTGTAGCAATTTTGAAAAAGAAACTGAACTAAAAATTCAGAGGTACAAAATTTCAAAGCAACTCTCACAAGACAGTAATGTATAAAACACAGATAGTGGTTTACCAGGAAAAAATAGACACAGATATATAGCATTCTGTGAAAATTAGGTGACACTGAGAGAAAAATACCAAGAGCATTATTCAGGAATTCACAGGGCCAAATTAGTATGCCGTAAGTCTGCCTAGGTAAGTGGGTGTGTTCGCTCTGTAATATTTTCCCACACTTAAGAATGATGAGAATTATTCATTCAATGAGTTTTAATAAATGGGAATTATACGCATACTCCTCTACCTCTATCCAATTGCCCAGAAATACCATGTCAGCAGATCTAGTGTGGATAATCCCGTGGGAGTCATTTTATACGCTTGAAAGATGCAAGATCTAGGAGCAGTTGATACAATCCAGGCTACAAAATGTTTTAGCAGCAACCAAATGGGGAAAAAAAAAATCATTGGTTGGAACAATGATCATTGTATTCCATCAGTAACTTTTGAGTGGAGTTTTAATGTATATGTAAACCAGAGGTCTATTTTTGTTATCCTGCATTGGACAGGAGGCAGTGTGGTTGCTTAATTACGATTGCTAGGAAAAGAAGATCCAAGCTGGCACTTTAAAAATGGCTGACATTGTAAAGGTCAGTTTGGATTGGTCAAAGGGTAAAGTCACTGATCTATTGGCAGTTAGAAAGTTCATGAGGAACGTAATTAGGGAGATTTTTAAAACATGAAAAGATCTGTCTGACAATTGGAAAATGACCATCTGAGTTGGTTGTTTTTGAAGGGAGCACAGCTGTGTTGGGAGAAGAGCAAGCTTTCCAGTTTGAGGGAATTTTGCTGGAAAAAAATGGTGAGGCAAGACTGGTGAGAGCTGAAAGCAAAAGAGCTCATGAGGAATTTAACAGGGATAAAGTTCATCTGGTTTGAAGAGAAAGCCAATGAGTGCTTATTAGCTGGGGACAGTTCTCTTAAGTTATAGGAAAAGTAATCAAGCATATTCAGTAAAAGTTAGCCACCTTAACTTTGAGGAAAATGCTTTATCCCCATGGAAAACAAATTAGGTAGGTAGAGTCAACCAGAAAGATTCTGTGGCATCCTTCTCTTGCCAATACAATTAAATCTGCGTAAAACTCAGAGGTTCCTTTCAGTGG